TATCATTTAAGATAAAACTAAAAATTCCGGTGGAATCAACGACAAATGTGACAGTAAAAAGTGCCGTTAAGAAAGAAACTGCCGTCAGCAGTTTTCCGGAAACGCGTCAAAATAATGATCAACGAAAGGTTGATTTGATTGTCTTGGATTTGTTTCTGTTTATTTCACGATCTCATAAATTCATTTGTTTACGTATGGTGTTGTGCAGATTTGCTCTTATATTGGGGTAGTTATTTATGGTGTGGAACCTTCGAATTATACTTAGTTTTGAATGAGATTTAGGCTGAAAATTCGGTGATATTGTAGGAATTAGGCACAAATTGAGTTCACGCTTTAATTTGTGCTCAAGCAGTATGCCTCATGCCCCAGTCGACATATCAGTTAAGATGAGAGGAGCAACGCATTCTGGAATCTTTTAAAGATGCTCAGCACCATTTGATATCGTATTTTGAATCTGCCTTTCATATGTTTGAATGAAGAGATGAAATTTGCAGAATCGGCGATCGAATCGTGCCGAACTGGACGAAGAAGCACTGTTGCATCAACGCCCCTCTCAGCCATCAACTCTATTCGATTTCATTCAGCAGTCAGCCGTACCGGCAACTTCGGATTCTGCACCGACGAATCTAAAATCTGAGGCTATCGCGCCCACGAAACCGTATCCGCAACAATTTGGAAAGCCAAACACATCATCGCCTCCTCCGTTATCGGCATCCAGAGGTGGCGTTCGAGGAGATGGTGGTGGACCGGGATATGCGAAGAATTTTGGTCGTGGTTTTAGCAATCGCGGAAATTCCAGAGGATTCACGGCTAATCGCGGTCAGTAGCGGATTCTCGTTACATTCTAGAATGTTGATATTTTTATTTGAATTTTTGTTTGGCGCTTGCAGTGAAGTGACAAGAGTATTAGTTTATGTTCAATTGAACAAGACAATAGGATTTTATTTAGTCAGCGCATATGCTGTATATAAACAGTCGAGAGTGGTTTTTTTTGAATCGGTAGAATATTTCAGGTTTTCGGTGTCTATTCAACACGATTGTAAATAAGGCTGATAGGTGGATGGATAAGGCTTGGCGAGAATTTTGCTGAGTGTTGTGACTTAAACGTTTGTTCTACGGGTAATGTTTGCAGGAAACAGAGGTGGTGCGCAGATGTCAAATTCCAACCGATCGAGGGGAGGGTATCAAGGGAGTCGTGGTCGACGGGACGTGACGAGCGCGAATGCGTTCAGTGGTTCACCACAAAATGATCGTTTCGTGCTGAACAACGATGGCTCATTCCCACCGTTGAACCCACAAAATCAGAAGCAGTCATCCGTGAACACAATTACTAATGGTGAGTTATTTATTAGTATTAAAATGTAGTTGTTGCTTAATTGATAATGAACTCTTGTAGTAATTTTGCTTGGTCTCTAAGAAAGTTTTTATGAGTCCGCGAGAATTTCCTCAGAAAAGGTCTTTTCATTTTGATCTCTTCATTTTTGCTTACTTCAGGTATGTCCGGCATGGACCTGAACACAAAGTCATCAACATCCAATTCTGCTGCAATGGACAGATCGACCTCATCAAATCGTTACACAAACAAACCGTATGATACGTACAGTAACAATAAGCCATCATACAACGACAATATCGGTGCCAGTAATAGACGTGGTAATGATCGATTCAATAACGATGCGATTCCATCGAGCAATCAGCCATTAACTTACACGAAAACGAATTCGAATTATCAATCGGCTGGAACGAGGTATGAACAAGGCCAGCAGTCTCAACCACAACAACGGATATTGCAATTTAATCGTTCATACAACAACAGTCACTATAATTATGGTCCACCGTCGTCGTCACCAATGCCATACAACGGAGGGCAGAAGTCGAATTCACCGAAATTTTCCACCAGAACGGGACTACCAATCTGGAAAGTTGGTGACAAGTGTTTGGCACCATGGAGCGATGGACAGGTATGAGCGATGCA